GACATCACATCAGGAACCTGTGTTGGTCCTGGGGAGGTGCAGAGCAGAGTGAGGAGGTGCAGGTGCACTTGGCTTCCCAGCATGAGTGGGAGGTCCTTGATCACATCTGAGAGATGAGGTCTATGTATGAGAATGTCAGCTCTGCTCTGCTTTCAGGAACCCTATATACGCATGCAATGGATTTTCTGTGTTCATGGAAAACTCATTATGAGATAATTTCTTGATATTTATCTTTATATCTGCTTTTATTTTTTTTGTACACATAATATCCATTTTTTGTGTTCTACTTTTCAGCTTTGGAAATATTTAAATTTTGAAAGTGTCAGAAACAGTTTCCTGCCGGGCATGGTGGTGCACACCTGTCCTCCCAGCACTCAGACGCTGAGGCGGGAAGGTTGTTGCGAGTGTGAGGCCAGTCTGGTTTACAAAGTGAGCTCAAGGTCAGCCTGAACTGCATAGCGAGACCCTGACTCAAAAAGACAAAAGAAAAAAAACAAGAAACAGTTTCCTTTCCTACAGGAGAGCTGATGTACTGTAAGTCTTCTCCCCACTGCCTGGGGTTATACTCCCCTGAGTTGTGAAACAACTGCTTCCTGTTTGAGCTCCTGCACAGAGAAGACACGCCTAGTGATGCTTCTATTCCCCTCTTTCTATCGGGATAACATGTGTGACTCTGCTACCTTCCACTGTTTGCTGAGAGAAAACAGAATCGGCTTTCATGCGGATGCCTGGCAGTGAATCTCTCATTTTTACCTGTCATTAACTCTCTCACTCTTTTTCTCTATTGAGACTTGTTTGTCTCTGACAGTTTCACCAGATGGAACACATAAACTGCTCCTATATAAAGAGTGCACCTGAGAAATATTAATGCACATGTACTTGCATAAGCACACACTGTCAAAGCAGGGAGCACACGTGTCATCCTGCAGTGTGTCCTGTGGCTCATCTGCAACCCTCCCTCCTGCTGCTTCCCTCCTGCATCCTATCACCAGGCAGCTCCTGACCATCCTCGTGCTGCTTCACATTAACTTTCTTATTTCAAAATTCATACAAATAGCGCGCACCCTATAATATTGGTCATGTTTAACACAACATTTATTTGAAATTTCTACATGTGTTATGTGAGTCAGCATTCATGGACATTTATGCTGATTAATTTCCAAATATATGAAAACAGAGCTGGGAATACAGCTCAGTTGTAGGCTCCTCACTTATTGACTGTCATGCCTCTTCATCCCTGTTAAAACCAAAACAAATAGAAGATGAACAGTCAGACAGAATGATGATATAAAACACTTCAGTTTTATTACTCAGTTAATCTATGAATGCCTATAGAAATGTTCTAAACTTCTCATTATTACAAAGAAAGCTGATCATCATCTTGCAAATGTAGACCCATGAAAACAGGTGATTTTTTACAACAAACAGTGCAACCATAACCCTAAATTAATAAATTTGTAAGCACATCAAAGAAATGGAGGTACAAGGCTATAAAAATATGGAATCAGGGGGTACCAGGCTTACATAATAAACAGAACCAACACTTATCTACGTGGGTCTCACATCACCCTGTGCCATATGATCAGATGATTAACCTGGAAGCAATTCATGGATTACTAAAGGCAGAGTGTGCTGAAGCATCAGAATGCTCATATAACAGATTGACAAACTATTACTGCTGCTGTAAAAAGTACCCCACAGTGAGCAACTTCCATCAAATACAGGGTTTGCTTGAATTTCTAGACCCTCAGATGTCAATACC